TTTATATATATATTTATTTGCTTCTTTTCCATTTTGCATTTACTTGTACTTTTACTTTCAATACTTAAGTACAATAAATATCACAAGACTTTTACTCAAGTAATATTCTAAACGGTGACTTCAACTTCTACCTACCAAAGTAATTTTCTGGTAAGATATCTGTACTTTTACTTGAGTATGGCTTTCAGGTACTTTATACACCACTGGTTACAAGTTCTTCATGGAATCATCAATGCAAGAAGTCTTCAAACTCGGTCCTGCAGAGTTTAGCTCCAACCCTAATTAAACACAGCTGAACCAGCTAATTACGGTCTTATAGGTGCATCTCAATAAATTAGAATGTCGTGGAAAAGTTCATTTATTTCAGTAATTCTACTCAAATTGTGAAACTCGTGTATTAAATAAATTCAATGCACGCAGACTGAAGTAGTTTAAGTCTTTGGTTCTTTTAATTGTGATGATTTTGGCTCATATTTAACAAAAACCCACCAATTCACTATCTCAACTAATTAGAATATGGTGACATGCCAATCAGCTAATCAACTCAAAACACCTGCAAAGGTTTCCTGAGTCTTCAAAATGGTCTCTCAGTTTGGTTCACTAGGCTACACAATCATGGGGAAGACTGCTGATCTGACAGTTGTCCAGAAGACAATCATTGACACCCTTCACAAGGAGGGTAAGCCACAAACATTCATTGCCAAAGAAGCTGGCTGTTCACAGAGTGCTGTATCCAAGCATGTTAACAGAAAGTTGAGTGGAAGGAAAAAGTGTGGAAGAAAAAGATGCACAACCAACCGAGAGAACTGCAGCCTTATGAGGATTGTCAAGCAAAATCGATTCAAGAATTTGAGTGAACTTCACAAGGAATGGACTGAGGCTGGGGTCAAGGCATCAAGAGCCACCACACACAGACGTGTCAAGGAATTTGGCTACAGTTGTCGTATTCCTCTTGTTAAGCCACTCCTGAACCACAGACAACGTCAGAGGCGTCTTACCTGGGCTAAGGAGAAGAAGAACTGGACTGTTGCCCAGTGGTCCAAAGTCCTCTTTTCAGATGAGAGCAAGTTTTGTATTTCATTTGGAAACCAAGGTCCTAGAGTCTGGAGGAAGGGTGGAGAAGTTCATAGCCCAAGTTGCTTGAAGTCCAGTGTTAAGTTTCCACATTCTGTGATGATTTGGGGTGCAATGTCATCTGCTGGTGTTGGTCCATTGTGTTTTTTGAAAACCAACGTCACTGCACCCGTTTAGCAAGAAATTTTGGAGCACTTCATGCTTCCTTCTGCTGGCCAGCTTTTTGAAGATGCTGATTTCATTTTCCAGCAGGATTTGTCACCTGCCCACACTGCCAAAAGCACCAAAAGTTGGTTAAATGACCATGGTGTTTGGTGTGCTTGACTGGCCAGCAAACTCGCCAGACCTGAACCCCATAGAGAATCTATGGGGTATTGTCAAGAGGAAAATGAGAAACAAGAGACCAAAAAATGCAGATGAGCTGAAGGCCACTGTCAAAGAAACCTGGGCTTCCATACCACGTCAGCAGTGCCACAAACTGATCACCTCCATGCCACGCTGAATTGAGGCAGTAATTAAAGCAAAAGGAACCCCCTCCAAGTATTGAGTACATGTACAGTATATGAACATACTTTCCAGAAGGCCAACTATTCACTAAAAATGTTTTTTTTATTTGTCTTATGAAGTATTCTAATTTGTTGAGATAGTGAATTGGTGGGTTTTTGTTAAATGTGAGCCAAAATCATCACAATTAAAAGAACCAAAGACTTAAACTACTTCAGTCTGTGTGCATTGAATTTATTTAATACACGAGTTTCACAATTTGAGTTGAATTACTGAAATAAAATAACTTTTCCACGTCATTCTAATTTATTGAGATGCACCTGTAGATTTCACATCTGAAAGAGAGGTGTACGTGTGTTTTTTGTGTGTACGTTCAGTCTATGAATGACAAATACGCATATTTGAGAGATGACCGTAAGATCAATTTTAGGATGGTTTCTGTGCAACATTTTATAAATGAGGCCCCTGATCTCTGTGTGGAGCACTAGCTGTTGTCAGACAAAAATCTCATTGGATTAATGGCAAAATGAATGTTTGGAAATGTAAACTAATATTTCCTACTGACACACTACAGCAAAAGATAGAAATAACTGACTTAAAACCATTTTTCAGCTGGTCAAACTATACTTGAACTAGTGTTCAAATAATTTTGGTCACCATGTTAACAGCTGAATTGATGTTAGATGTTGCACTACAAACTGTTGTCACTGAGAATGCTTATTTTTCTGAATAAGTATGAAATGGATATGTTGTAGTTTATATAAATTTTAAGGTCATGAATGATTTGTAGCCTCTCTTTGTTTCATCCACTGTTGCTGCTATTTAGAAACCATGTAGAAATGCATTACTGAACCAGAGTGTGGTAAAACATTACTGGTCTGACCAAAGCTCAGATCTGAGCCACACTGACGTCTGGGCTTTGTGCAGGGGAAGTTCTTCCACACTAGACTTGAAAAAGTATTTCTATGCAGAGTGCAGACCTTGCTTTGTGCACACAGATATTATCATTCCCATGCCTTGGAACAAAAAAGCACAAAATTCTCTGGAGTGGCATTTTCAATTTGTAGCACTGAATTGTCCTCACAGAAATGGCTGGAATAGTCAAACTTGTTAAATATAAGAGGGTGTCCACATACTTTTGACCACATTACCTCTACACCGACTTCTGTAAAATAACACTGTGAACACTGCCAACAAGAGAATTGTAAAATAACTTTATTTATAAACAAGAAATATTGTAATTAAAATATTTTACAAGTGTAAATTTTTTTTGACAAAACAAGAGAGCTCCAAAAAAGTTCCGTATTAAAGCATGTTTTTCTTCAACCTCAGTTTAAATAAGAAGGTCTATTTAAATATGGCTAATAAATGCACATCACAAGGTTTTCATGCTCTCTGGCTGCTGGTCTCAGCGGCACTGGCCTCTCTGAACTGCTGTGTCCAGCTCTGAGGATCCTGATCAAAAAGCTGTGAGAGAAAAGACACATGCCAACACTTATTACTTACTAGAACTTTGATTTTATTTATTGGTTTGGAATTTATGTGCTCAAGTGAAAGGCATTACACTCATGAATAAATAATGATGGCTGTTTAACAGTCATTGTAGGGGTAAATCTCATGAACATGTCAGGGCCTACTTTTTCAAACTCCTCTTAGGTCGTTTGTCCAATCTTCACCAAATTGTGCACAAAGCAATTATAGACTACGCCGTGAAAAGAATTTTGTGAACTGCAGAGGCATGTGCAAAAGAACGATAAACAAGACAGCACGTGCTGAAGTAAACAGAGAAAACTCAAGTAAGTTCATTAAAAAAAAGTGATGTGCAAAGTTTTGAAATATTTATGGTGCCAACCCTAAAGTTTAGCTTGTATAGAGCGGTCACTATAATAAACAGTTAATTGAACAGTGGTGTATAAAGTACCTGAAAGCCATTCTCAAGTAAAAGTACAGATATCTTACCAGAAAATGACTTTGGTAGAAGTTGAAGTCACCGTTTAGAATATTACTTAAGTACAATAAATATCACATACTTTAAGAATTTTATTCAAGTACGAAAAGTATTTTTTATATCTTAAACGTACTCAAGTATTAAAAGTAAAAGTACAAGTAAATGCAAAATGGAAAAGAATCAAATAAATATATATAAAAAATGTTCATACACGGCTTGAGTAGCAAGATTGTGTTCAGTTTTAACTCTTTCTTCCATTTTGTATTTTTGATTAAGAATAAGAAACACTTCATCGGTACTTAGTGTCTTTTATTCCAACATAAGAAATCATTTCTGGAATCTGCATCTGAAATAGCATTCAGATGTATTTACACAGTTTATGTATCTCAGAGCGGACATGGATGCATTTAAACTGCAGTTACAGATGCACAAATTGGCCTAATGTTTTGTTTTTAACATAAAACGTTGAATACTGATATCTGAAATAATTTAAAACATGAAAAAAAAAAAATAGTCGAAATGTGAAATTAAAACCG